ATACTGTATCCTGGAATCATCCACATTAATGGGTTGCTGAATGTGTATTATCCACATAGTTGTTAAACATTATTTGATCATTTGAAAAGCACTATCCATATAATGGATGTGAGGGTAAAGTGTTTTTCCCACCATCTGGTTAAATTTTTCAAGATTCACTAACCCTGGTCCTCTCTTTAGCCTCTGCTTCCTCTGCTTCCATTCCATTGTATGCCACCACTGGACTGATCGTAGGGATTATTATCATCAGTGGGATAGCATGGTTGATCTATAAAAAGAAAATCAAATCAAAAGGTAGGAAAATTAAAATTAGTAAGTAAGATCTGCAGGAATATTATAACTGTTGAAACTTTACAGTGTGTTTTATTTATCTGTTACAGGAAAGCCATCTGCACAACTTCCCAGGTACGGCCTTGAATGGACATAACCAATGAAATATTAGTATCATTTTAAAAGTGTTTTTTCCAACAGATAGAAATGACTGAATTGATTCTTCCATAATCTTCTTATTTTAGAGCTCAGGCTGCTCTTGAAATTCCAGGAGATGAATGTGAGCATTACATTTTTGATAAACCTTTTTGAAATGATTGTCTACTTAGCACATTTTGAGAATTGTGTACTATAGATTTCTTAGACTGTCTGTGCACATTATTAAGTTTTTAAACTTCAGATAATATCAATGCTTTTTTTGACAAGTAACTTTTTGTTAATCAAATTAGTTTGGGTTCAGTAGACAGTTGTTCTTTAGGGAGGATGGTTTTGCAATTAAGACACTGGAATAGGATATGGGTGATCTGAGTTAAATTCTTGGCTCTCTCACATACATCCTGTCCCTATGACTTTGGGCAAGCTACAGAATCTGTTTATGTCTCAGTTTCTCCTCAGTAAAATGAATAGAACAATGCTTCTTGCTCTCTCGGGGGTGCTAAGATGGAGTCATGTGTTCTCAGTGTTTGTGTGTTCTGACAGAACAGTGCTGGGGCCATAGAAGAACCTAGCAGCTACGTGATTCTGAATCGTTTTCCTAGCTACTAGAGGTCTGGTACTGTAGACAGTAACCAACACAGGTCTTAATTCTGTGCTGAATAGAATGGAGTCAAATTCCATTATTTGGGGGTAGGAGAGAAGAATTTATTTAACATCCTTTTTAAAGGGATCTAGTTACTATTTTATTTAGTTGATGTTGATGTTTTATTTTAATTCTGTGAGATTCATAAACTCTTTGATGCAGAGTACTTGTTTTACAGGTTCCCCGTACGCAGTGAGCGGCAGCAAAGACTTGCAAAGAAATGAAGTGTTCTATTCACTTGCAACAAGCCCATATGAGGACTCAAATGCAACCTATTGTACAGTGGATAATACTGCAGCATCTGGCAAGGGGCCAGGAGATGAAATACATACAGTCTATGCAGTGGTGCCACAATAGCTGTTCCTGTAAGTGACTTGTAAGAGGAAGTGTTATTTTTGACAAATGACATTGCAAATAGAACCACCCAGGTTAGTCACACTAGTATAACTAATAGGGGGCTATATGAGTTCAGTAACTCCTCGCTTAACGTTGTAGTTATGTTCCTGAAAAACGCTACTTTAAGCAAAACGATGTTAAGCGAATCCAATTTCCCCAGAAGAATTAATGTAAATAGGGGGGCTTAGGTTCCAGGGAAATTTTTTTCACCAGACAAAAGACTGTCTCTCTCTCTATATATACACAGTACAGGAACTCCTCACTTAACCTCACCCCGGTTAATGTTGTTTCGATGTTAAGTTGCTGATCAATTAGGGAACATGCTCATTTAAAGTTGTGAAATGCTCCCTTCTAACGTCTTTGGCAGCCGCCTGTTTCGTTCACTGCTTGCAGGAAGAGCAGCCCATTGCAGCTAGCTGGTGGGTGGTTGGAACCAGGGTGGACCAGCAGCCCCCCCATTAGCTCCCCACTCCCCTCCCTAAGTTCCCTGTGCAGCAGCTGTCCCTCCCCTCACTACCATGTGCTGCTCCTGCCCTCTGCCTTGGAGCTGCTCCCAGAGAATCCTGCTTGCTGGATGCAGGGCCAGCTCTAGGCACCAGCCGACCAAGCATGTGCTTGGGGCGGCACCTTGGGGCGGGGTGGCGCTCGGGTTTTTATTTATTTATTTATTTATTTATTGGTTCGTCAGGGCAGCACTGGAGGGCTTTTTTTTCTTTCGGCAGCGCGGCGCTCGGGGGGGGGACAGCGAGGCGGCACTCTTCTTTTTTGCCTGGGGCGGCAAAAAAGTTAGAGCCGGCCTTGGCTGTATGGGGGGAGGGGGAAAGAGTGGGGCTAATGTTAGGGTGTCTCCCCCTCTCCCCTACTCCTGCACCCTGCTTACCCCATCTTCCATAGAGCAGGGGGGACATGCTACAGAGGTAGCTTCTAGGCAGTAGCTGCGGTCTCAAGTCTCAGCAAGCTGATTTAATTAACAAGGCGGTGTACTTAAGCCCGGGGTCAGCTACTTAAAGGGGGAATGTGCATTTTTTGTCTCACACACAGGGTGTGTCTCTGTCTCTCCTCCCTCCTTTCCTGCTGCCTTGTAGAGTGAGAGAGTTAACCCTTGAGGGCTCAGTCAATTGCTAGTTCATTTATCAGTAAGGCATTCCCTGGGAAATATCCCACCCTCTGACTCCTCCACCTCAACTAAGCTTCACAGTCATCATCACTGTGTACCAGTATTATATTGTTTGTTTAAAATTCATATTGTGTGTGTGTGTGTATATATATAATATAGTCTTTTGTCTGGTGAAAAAAATTTCCCTGGAACCTAACCCCCTCATTTACATTAATTCTTATGGGGAAATTGGATTCGCTTAACATCATTTCGCTTAAAGTTGCATTTTTCAGGAACATAACTACAACGTTAAGTGAGGAGTTCCTGTATAAGTTTTAAACAAACAATTTAATACTGTACACAGCAGTGATGATTGTGAAGCTTGGTTGAGGTGGTGAAATCAGAAGGTGGGATATTTCCCAGGGAATGCCTTACTGCTAAATGATGAACTAGTAATCGGCTTAGCCCTCAAGGCTGAACACATTGTTGTTAATGTTGTTAAGCCTCACACTCTACAAAGCAGCACGAATGGAGGGAGGCGATACAGCAAGGCGGAGAGAGCCAGAGACACACACTCTGTGTGTGTGTGTGTGAATGAAAAAGAGAGAGAGAGAAAGAGGGAGAGACAGAGACACACACTGTGTGTGTGTGTTTGTGTGTGTGTGAGAGAGAGAGTTGCGCATTGCCCCTTTAAGTACTCTGACCCCACTCTAAGTACACTGCCTTATTAAGTAGATCTGCAAGTTGAGACAGTAGCTGCTGCCAGGAAGCTCCCTTCGTCCTGAACCCTGTTGTGTCCCCCCTTGCTCTGTGGAGATGGGGTACCCTGACATTAGCACCCCTCTTCCCTCCCCCTCCCCTGCACAGCAAGCAGGAGGCTCCCGGGAGCAGCTCCAAGGCAGAAGGCAGGAGCAGCACAGGGCAGTGTGGGGAGGGATACCTAAACTGCCTGGCAATTGATAGCCTGCGGGGCGGCTGCTGAACAGGGAACTTAGGGGAGTGAGGAGCTGATGAGGGGCTGCCAGTCCACCCTGGTTACAAGCCCCCACCAGCTAGTTCCAATGGGCTGCTCTTTCTGAAAGCGGTGGACAAAGCAAGCAGCTGCCAAATAACATTATAAGGGAGCATTGCGCAACTCTAAACGACCATGTTCTCTAATTGATCAGCAACGTAACAACAAAACAACGTTAACTGGGATGACATTAAGTGAGGAATTACTATATGTACTAATAATGGGAAATATGCTTCCAGTTGTATGAATCTGCTCAGGGGTCTGTTTCTCACTACAGCAGTAAGGAACTTTAGTTATCCCCCGTAACTTCCCCTTTTTGCGCTGTGTAAGCTGTAGAGTTGGAATTTCAAATTTGTGGTAAAAGGAACAGGCTAATCAGGGAATTCTTTAGCCCGAGCAAACCTCAAATTGATCACACACATTGGAGAGCTGTGACCTTTCAGCTAGTGCAGAACATGCATGAGGGAGACGACACAAGGAGCAGTGCATTCGTTTGCTATAACTGCAATCTCTGTGCTCTCCTGAGTGCAGGAACTGCTTCCTGGGACACAAGCTGCCCAAAACGTGTAATAGAAGATGCAGGGAGATTAGGGTTACCATACGTCCGGTTTTTCCCGGACATGTCCGGCTTTTCGGCAATCAAACTCCCGTCCGGGGGGAATTGCCAAAAAGCCGAACATGTCTGGGAAAATGCCGGCCGGGCACTTCCCCTCCCATGGCTGCTCTGCTCCTCCCCTGACTCTTCGGCTCTGTTTAAGAGCCGAGCTGCCCGAGCGCTATGGGCTTCAGGTGTTGTACTTAAAGTACTGCACAGGATTTTTTTAGGGGGAATAAGACAAAACGCCACATTTATTAGTAATACAT